TTCCCCTTCCCCCTCCCCCCAGGGCATCTCGCCCACTGGTGGCCTGGCTGACCAACTCTTCCCCCTTCCTCCCAGTGCCTCCCACCTGCCGCAAATCAGCTGTTTCACGGCATTCAGGATGCTCGGGGAGGAGCGGGGATGCGGCACACTTGTGGGAGGAGTTGGGGAAGAGGCAGGGTGGGGCCGGGGACTTTGGGAAGGGGGTGGAATGAGGTGGGATAGGGGTTTGGGGGAAGGGGGTGGAACGGGGGCGGGGCCTGGAGTGGAGCAGGGAGTTGAGCACCCACCGTCCAGAGGGGAAGTTGGCACCTATGCCACTGGCTGTTCACTGCCTCCCATCACTGAAAAAGTGTGAGGGACATCAAGCAATGCCACTGCTGCCTCTGGAACTTGCTCACTGCGGCTGCTGTCTCTGCCACCACTGGCTGATTCCTCTGCCACTGGTTCTGCTGATTTTTCTGGTGCTGTTACCTCTGCCACTGCTCAGCTGCACTGCTGTTATCACGGCCGCTGCTGGCCCCCCACTGCCACTTCTGCAATGGTACGTTCTGAGGTTCCACGACCTACCCAGGGATTCCAGCAGGCTGTGGCTGTTGCTGTGTCTCCATTGTTCGCTGCAGCCCTGTCCCTGCACTAGGTCTATGACCTGGCCCCTAGGCCTGCTCATTAAGGGTTTCAGCTCTTGCCATCACTGAACTGGAACAAGGGCTCACCATGGAGTCTAATCAGCTCTGGCTTTAAACACAGGAGAGGGGAGGGGAGCGTCCAATGGTACCTAGGACTCTCGAAGGGGAATTCATAGCATCAGACAGGAACACCTGTCCCCACCCCCTCTGATTTTCACGGGTTTTGGCATCTCTATCCCATTTCGCCAGTGAGCTTTAATTTAGGTTGTCACTGTAACATACCCAGGATACAATCCAGACTAATGGGTACCTGTGTCACCCCCGCCCTGCAACATGGGTGCCCTCTACAATGCTCTGCCTCTGTAGCCTCCTACCTGGACATCTCACAAACAGCCTCCACAGGGGCTGGATTCTTTAACTGATTTGCAGATTAAAACTAAGGCCTTAAACTGGCATCAGAAGGGGACTGGGAGCCAGTGGAGGGACTGGAACATAGGCCTGATGTGTTCTCTGTGGCCTAAGCCCTGGAGAAGGCCGGCAGCTGCATTAGGTACCAGCTGGAGCCTTCACACTCAGCTGTGGATTCAATGATCTATTGTAACCCAGCCCAGTGGTGGCAGATGCTGGGATCACTGTGGCCAGATCCTTGCCCACAGGAAGATGCAGAGTTCCCTAGTGAGCTGGGATGATTAGACACTGATGCTACCTGGTCACCTAGACCTAGTGAAGGATCACATAGGACCCGAGTCTTTGCACCTCGACTCTGGTAAATGGGGCTGTACAAATTCAATGGAATGAAGGGCAGTGTCTCATCTAGTTCTTCAAAATGTGTCCCCTGCTTCTGAATCACTTTGCTCTTGCCTGGGTTCATCTTAAGCCAGAGCCCTGGTGTTGCTGCATTTTCTCAGCTGAGTTCTCATCCCTCGCTCTGTTTGGTTTCAGACTGGAGAAGAAACATCGTCTGCCCAGGTAACTACAGCTCCTATTGCATCGATATCCAAAGCTCCCCCTGCCCTGAGACTTCCAGTCCCTTTTTCTCACACAGTTAACATTTTACACTAGCTCTTTGGGGCAGGGACGGCTCTGTACTAAGGTGAAAAGACTCAAGGTTTGTGTGGCCAACGCTGTGATTTTGGGTGCCTAAGGAGCTCTTTTGTGCACACTGGAAGCTCAGAGGATTCTCAGTGAGATGCTGTTAGAGTCCCTGATGGGGCTGGAGGCTCAGGAAGGGAGGAGGGGACAAAGGACTGGGCCAGGTTAATGTCTAGGCTGCTCATTTCAATTTTCAGAAGCCCTAACAGGGTTGCATGTGCCCAGACAGCTGCTGCTGCTACTCTAGCCATGGCACAGGTACATGGCAGCCGGCAGGGGTTAGCACATTCACTGCACACAGACACCCATTGG